GAGTAAAAATTGTAAAACATTTTTTTTTTTTTTTTAATCTTTATCCTCAATACGTTAAATTAAGGGGGGGCCTTCAAATTATTTAAATTGTAATTAATTTTAATAGCTAGATCCGGACAAGTCATGTAAATCAATGCAATCCTAAAACATTTAGAGCATTTTTATAAAAATGAATATATATTATACACATACCTTAATCCTTCAAATTAAGGGGACATTTAAATATTGTTGTGGACAATCTGGGGCCTTGGAGTCAAAAAGGTTGAGAACCACTGGGTTAAACTGTTGACTTTCATCTTTCTTTTTTAGAGACATGTTATGCAAAATGTTCAGTCCTGTATTCTGTACACACACAGAATGACAATTTAAGGAATTTTCATTTGTAAGTTGCTTTAGATAAAACCATCTGCTAAATGACTAAATGTAAATTAAATTAAACTTTGCAATGTGCACATTTGCTAAAGAGTAGCCCAGAGACTCTCACCTATTCAAATGTACAGTAGCTGCTGGTAATGTCTGAAACTAGATTCTCTCTCGAACCACATCCTCAAAATCCTCCTGCATTTATACAAATAATTTTTAAAAAGCCCATAAAGGGCCGGGCCGTTTCATAAGATCCGCATCTCAAGTTCTGTACAAGCAGATAAAGTAAGAGCTCTTTAAAACATCCATTTCTCATAACAAAATAATCTGATCCATTAAAAGTTCACATAGCGAAAAAGGTAACCGATCTCCATATATATATATTTATACTGTATATACACACACATACTATTTTGGCAGACAGAACGCAAAGTAGTTCTTTATTGTAAACAGCTTTCTTCTTTCCTCGAACACATTCGCACACGACATCTCGTTACATTCGTGGCTTCAGTTCTAATTCCTCCTAATACTCAAAGTTTATGCTTGTAGAAAGACCTGGAGCGAAGTTCAGCCTCGTCGACACCCACCTGACCCCGGCAGCACCGAGGAGAGACGGGAACGGGAAGCAGAGGAGGCCTTGGCTTCACTCGCTTCGTTTGGTTCTGAAGCGTCCTGCGGGCGAGACGTGCTGAGATCTTTTGAAATGTTTTTGGCCACCCACGGCTCTCGGTACACGCCGACCCTGGGAGAGGATTTATGGGATTTGGCGGGACGCTTGGGCACCCTCAGTTCTCCTCGTCTGTGATGTCGTTCTCCCCGACCGCCTTCTCCGGGATGGCCTCCAGGCTGCGGCGGCCCCTGGACTCGGACCCCGAAGAGGGTCCCGCTCCTCCCTTGGCCAGGTTACAGGTGAGGGCGGCGTAGTGGATCTGTTTCAGGTTTTCCAGCACTTCTGCCCGAGCGTGTTTCAGCAGATCAGCCTGGCCCTAAAAACACACAGACACACAAGCAGAGCCAAGGGGTCTCACTCACTAATAACTGGATACAAGTATTCTTGCAGAAAATATTCTCATATTCACGCATAGACTTGTTCTTTGCCCTGTTGGAACTTACATACAATCAGCTGTATTTTTAAGTGGAATCTATCGCAGATCATGCTGTAATGCCCATTCTAGGGTCATAAGGATTGGCTGTTTAAAATAAATGTTCAATGATCTATTATATATATATATATATATATATATATATATATACTGTATATATAC